CTGTGTTTCTGGTTTGCTTGTTTTGAAATATKGGGATTAAAAGAGCAGAAATCATCCAGATAGATGTATTTGATATTTTGGAGATGATGCTGTTTGTGTTAAAAGTAGGGGTGGTTCTTTTTTTAGTGAAGTTCGTGCAAGTCAAGATATATGCAAAAATAGTCTTGGACTCAAGAAACCGCAAARCTAAAGATAGTTGTAGACTTGGAAAATATACTAAATAAGTATCACTRCATATTTACTTTGCTCTGAAAGTTTTTGAAAACATCTGGTGATTCTTGTGTTTTTCATAATTGTCCATTGAGTTTTCTCAACATCTTCAGAAGTTTGAAATATAATGAACATTCAAATCAGATCAGTGCAAAATGAGTCTTGTATTTTGTCTTTTACAGCAATGTTGTGGTTTGGGAATGGTATTCCCCACTTTAGTGCTCCAACCGAAACTGTAACAGCACTTGYTTCCCTGCCCCTTCCAGCTGGAAGCACAACAGGCAAGGGTCACAGGCTGAGATAAGAAAAATTTACTGAAAACAACAATAAGAGAAGAAAATTAACAGTAACAACAGGAATACTAATAACAAAAGTGTATAAAGAGAGGGTGGAGGGTGGTTTACGTGAAAAATGCTCACTGAGCTTGGGACAATGAAAAAGAGTGGTAGACAGACTGTGCACCATGCATTTTCCGTAAGTGGAAGGGAAGGACCTTTTTTCCAACAAGTGAAAAAGCTTTTTCCCTCGTAATCTGTATCAAATCTGGAATTTGAAATGAATCCTTGACATGGACAACTAAGACAATATCCAACATGAGAAACCATGTTATGCATAGGACTGAAGATAAGTGAGGTTTTCATGAGTTTAAATTCTGTTTGGATCCAGAGAGAAGCTTTTCTATTTAGAGGTTTTTTGAAACACATAATAATTCTGTGCTGAATCATTAATTTTAGATGGAAATTTMAAATGTGATCTCTTTTTAAAATTCCCTTTCAAAGCTGTATTTTGTATTGGTCACCTCCATTTTTTTAAAAGTAATGAGATAAACTAGAAAGTAAAATTAATTTCTAGCTGTAATTAGAAATAGCCTTAAGCTTTCTTCCACTATTCTGTATTAGGAAACCCAGAATTCGTCAATTTAAACTGTTTTTTCTCAATGTTTTGAAGCAACTTGGGAAGAAAAACAGTGCTATACTATATAACTCCTTCCCTATTTCAGACTACTTTCTCACTTAGAAAAAGCATTTCTGTGATGCTTCATTCTTTCACAAGGACATCTTCATTCTTAAGTGCCAGCACCTTTGTCTTCTCCCTAGAGTATTTAGTTTTGACTTGGTATTTTAATTGTACAATGGTTTTTGTTCTTAAGCGATGAGTGCCCAGGCAGGTAAGAAAACACAAAACAGAGAATGAGAAAAATGCCATTCTTTGTATTTACAACCATTGCTCCCAGACTTCTATTGAATTTTTGCTGGCACCAGTATGCCTGAGTGTCAGTAATTTGTGTAGACCTAGGTTAATTATGTTGTGATGGAGATGGTCATATTAATGAATTTGAACTGATTGTTATAATACATTTTATATGTTTAAATGTTTATTTAGTGACACAGATGTAGTTCTATGCATTTAAGTGGGAYCCACAAGTATCTGATTCCTAAAATGAAAAAAAAGTTTTTTGAAKCAGAATAGTTGCCTCCTGAAGAACAGCTTAAAAGTTTTGCAGGTTGTAGATGATTTATTCATAGGAATTATTTTTTGATATGTCCAGTGCAAGTGTTGCTATTCCTGCAGTGGTCCTAATACAAGGATGAGGCATAGTCAGCCATACTAGCAACCACCTACACGTGCTCTAGAAATACACTGATGAAATTCTGTGGACTACTGACGTGGGTTTCTGCATTGCTCAGAGATTAGAACAGGGATTTTTTTATTGTTTTACTGACATTCCATTGGTAAAGATGCTCCAGAATGGTCACTGCCCATGAGAAAATACATCAGCTCTTACCTGAAGAGAACATAAATATTACGTTAGCTAGAAGGAAAAACAATTACTATCATTGTGCCAAACTTTCAAGTTCATTCTTCTCTGCTGAAAATAACATGGAGAAATAAATACCAATCTCTGGCCACAATTCCACAAATATTTTTCGGAGTATAGAAAAGAGAATATTTTTGTTCTGTAGTTTCCTACTGACATGACAGAAGGTCAGCAATGTGTTAAAGTCTGCTCTCCGGCACATTTTAAGACTTTGGAAGATGCTTAATTTTATAAGGTTATCCATGTAGTCTGCTTCCCTTGAACTCAGCAGAGGCTTTGTGATCTTGTAAACAACAGATTTAATTCAATGYTGGGAGCTTTTAAAACTCTTATCCTAGAAAACTAACGCTATACAAGAGGCTAAAGCCATTAGATCATGCCACCAAAAAAAGGAAAGCTATTTCCAGTGCAGTGCTGTCCAGTACATGTGTTTATTGGAAAAGCTGCCTGAACAGAAGCCAAAATAATAATCTCCTTAAAAAATTACGAACAAAATAGAAATTGACTGAAAAAATTAAAGAAAGTATGCAACATACAAGGTTGTTTGGTTTTCCAATCAGAACTCCTCAGTGTCTGAAGGGAGACCACTTGAAAAGATTAATTTCTGTCTCTACAGAGTTTCAGCTCATGGTATTGTTAGGTACTAATCTCTTCAACAATAATGCCAGCTGTTACATTCCTTTCCTAAATGCAGCCTCTTTGTTCCATGCAACRAAAGAAAACAAACCCAAATTTGTAGCAGTTCTGCATCCTATACATCCATTTTTTTAAACTCCTGATGTGAAAAACTTAACAATATTGGTATACATGAGGCCAGGGTGCTCTTTTGGTATTTCTCATATTGACTCATCTGTGAGTCACTCACTTGAGTCTCTCCCTCAACCTCCTTCGTTTCATATTAGTTGTATTTTAGTTTAATAAAATTGTAAGGCAATGTCCTTTATCTCAGGAATTCCAGCATCTACAGCTCCACGGGCTACTCAGGGCTACCTTTAGTTTCACTATTCATTTTTTGTTTGGCCTTTCTAAGGAAAGGATTATTATTTGAAAATTGGGTCTGGAAGGGTCATTTGTTCTTTTTTCTAATGAAATGGTGCGGTAGTTTCAGCTATATTAATTTTTTTTCACRGTGGCTGGTACAGGGCTATGTTGTTTGTGCAACACAGGGCTGATAATACAGAGATATTTTTGCTGATCTGGGCTTGCACAGAACCACCGCCTTTTCTGCTTTCCATACTGCCACACTGGCAAGGAAGTTGGGGGTGCATGGGAGGCTGGCAGGAAACACAGCAGGGACAACTGTCCAAAGGGATATTCCAGACCATATGACATCGTGCTGAGTGCATCAAGTGGGAGGAAGGGGTGGAAATTTGGAGTAATGACATTTGTCTTTTTGAGGAACTGTTACTGTGTGATGGGTGCCTGCTCTCCTGGAGATGGCTGAACCCCTGCCTGTCCATGGGAAGAATTAATTCCTTGTTTTGCTTTACTTGAGTGAATAGTTTTCTTTTTCTCTATTAAACTGTCTGTATCTCACCTCACCAGTTTTCTAATTTTTACCTTTTCAATTCTCTCCCAAATCCTACTGGTGGGAGAGTAAACAAGTGGTTGCATGGTGCTTGGTTGCTGGCTGRGGCTAAACTACAACAAACTAGGAGCAAAACAGCCCTTCAACTTAATGCTTGGGTTTTATTTTTTAATCTGAGATTTTTGAAGTAGATACACTTCTCAGATTAATGATAAAATCAGTGGTGTTGTGTCTATTTTCACTTGTCTGTAGAAAGTGCAGACTCTTAACAGCAGATTTGCTGTAGTTCTCACTTCAGCTGTGTTGAACTCGTTTCATACCTTTACCAGAATAATTAATTTTAAAGTATTATATGTTTCATTATGATGYTGTGGAGAAAAGGAGGACAGCCAGGACAACCAGGGGATCAAGCCCAACCAACATGGATTTACGAAAGGAAGGTGCTGCTTGACTCCCCTGCTCTCCTCCTGTGACAGTGACTCGCTCGGTAGATGAGGGGAAGGYTGTGGGTGTTGTTTATCCAGACTTCAGTAAAGTCAATAAAGTGTTTGACGCCGTCTCCCACAGCATCAACTGGCTGCTTGTGAGTTGGATGAGTGGACTCTTGGATGGATAAAAATCTGGCTGGATGTCCAGGCCAGAGAGTTGTGGTGAATGGAGCTAAGTCCAGTTGGCAGCCTGTTGCCAGCAGCATTCCCCAGGACTCAGTTTTGGGGCCAGTCCTGTTGAACAGCTTTACTGAAGCTGTGGGGATGTGGGGATTGAGGGCACCCTCTGTAGATTTGCAGATGATCCTGAGATGGGTGTTGGTCTCTCGAGGGAAGGAAGGCTCCACTGAGGGATCTGGATGGACTCAATCAATGGGCGAAGGTTCATGAGGTTCAATAAGGCCCCATGCCAGGTCCTGCACTTGGGTCACAGCAATCCCAGGCAGCCCTACAGACTGGGACAAGGGTGCCTGTCCAGCAGAAAGGGACCTGGGGTGCTSGTCAGCAGCAGGCTCAGTGTGAGCCAGCAGTGCCCAGRTGGCCAAGAAGGCCTCTATCAGAACTGGTGTGGCCATCAGGACCAGGGAAGTGAACATCCCTCTGTACTCAGCACTGGTGCGGCCACATCTCGAGAACTGCGTTCAGTTTTGGGCCCCTCACTCCAAAAAAGGCCATTGAAGTACTGGAATGTGTCCAGTGAAGGACAACAAGGCTTATCAAAGGTCTGGAGAAATTTTCTGATGAGGAACAGCTGAAGGAGCTGGATTTGTTCAGTCTCAAGGAGGCTCTGGGGGGATCTCATCGCTCTCTACAACCACCTGAAGAGACATTGCAGTGAAGTGGGGCCAATCCAGATAGCACATCAGCTCTAGAACATTATAAATTAAATCTGTTGTATTTAATACAAAGCACATGTGTGCTTTGAGTATTCTAATGGTTTCTTCTTGTGTTGCAGGAAACAGCATACTCCATTCAGCAGCAGACAGTGTGACAAGTGCAGTACAGAAGGCAAGTCAGGCCTTGAATGAGCGTGGTGAGAGGCTAGGTCGTGCAGAAGAAAAGACAGAGGAGCTGAAAAACAGTGCTCAGCAGTTTGCAGAAACTGCACATAAGGTAAGATTTCGGTAGGATAAAGTCACACCTTTGGCTCTCAGAGTTTATTGAATGAAAGCATGTATCCTTATTTAGTTGTGTAAAGGCAGGAACTTAGCTCAAGGTATGCATCAAATCCTGCTTATGACACCTTCTTCACCTTCTTTGCCTCTAAAAAAAACACTTCCACTGGTTGATGACTGCAAAGGATCTCAAAGTTATAAATTCTGTATAATAAAAACTCCTCAGAGTTCACCAAAAAAAAGTTGAGGAGAGAAGAGCAGTRTTGGATTATTAAGTCCTTTCATACTGAAATTCATTTCTAGTATATACCTACAAATAATATTTTTTTAAAGATCATATTTTTAACCAAATCCTTGTGCATCAAAGGCTTCCATCAGTTTATTTTGTCATTTATTGATCATCATTTCACTGGTAGCAAATGAGGGAATYTTAACTGGCCCTACCAGTTCTGTTTTCAAGGTAACTTCCCAGAGGGTTTACTCATCTCTGTTAGCTTTGTTAGCATGCTGCAATCTACAGATTGCAAACGAAGCACAGAGCTTAGGTTTAGGTTCCATATAATAAAAAATTGCTAAGTCAGTTTGTCTACACATTTTATACAGTTTTTAATTCACTTCACCTCTTTCTTCCTCTCATTCTCTGTTAAGTCCATTTGTGTGTTATTTGAAATGGAAGTAATCGGTAATCAAAGAGGTGGAAAGGCAATCAGTCCTTTATTTTTCATCATTATATAGTGGCAGAGCTCTTGAACAGTTGTTTTAAATTACTTGTCTAGAATTTCTGATTGTAGTTAACAATCAAAGTCATTGGATCAAAATTACTATTCTCTAAGCATGCCATTGTTTCTGGTGTCTTGCTCATACCTTCCTTACCGATAGCAAAATAATGGAACATTGGGAAACACAGCTCTCAAAGCAGATAAATCCTGCCTCCTCAGCATGGCAAAGGGAGGTTGTTGACATGTCCCAGGAAAGGGACTGCATATCTGTGTGAACAGATGTTGTGGATTTCAGGCATCTTTTGGAGAATTTGTCTYCTCATCCAAACTGGCCACATTGGGTCGATACAGCTTTTGTTACMTATGATATCTCTAACTAACTTTTTCTTTCTTTTTCAGCTTGCCATGAAGCACAAATGCTGAGATACTGCCCAAAGTTGAAATCTTCTCAAGAGGMGCTGAAAAGGCTACATTCAGCAACTTTTACAGGAGATCCAGTCTTCTGTGTGCTTTTTCCTTCCTGTTCAGTGGAGATGCATTATTTCAGTTTCTGTGCAGGAAAAAGTGTTGCATTTCTACCTTTATGACTTACTTTTGTTCCTCTTTTTTAATATGCTACACAGTCCTGCAGTACTTTCTACCTGTTTTTCAGTTGTTACAGGAGTGAAAGCAAACATTGAAAAAGGACCAAATGACAAGCTGATCAGGATTAAAATAATAATACCCTTCCCTGGTTGTACAAAAAAAAAAAAATGAACTGATTGTGGATGTGTGTGGAAATAAAATCCAAAGAAGGGGTATAATTTTCTTCATTTAATGTAGCATCAGCAGAATGTGAATGTTAGAATTAAACATTGGGGTTGTAGGTGTAGTGGAGGACAAACTGCTTTGTCCTGGAAACAGAAAAATTTGTTTCTTCTACCCAATGTAGGAAGCGTTGCATGTGCACCAGCATTCAGAAGTTCRTATCTGAATTTTATTCATGTCGGCATTTTACATATTCCTATTTTCACTTTCAGACTGATTATTTGAATAGTATACTAAAACCTAAAGAATGTATGCTTGAGGTTTCAGAATTGAGAGAAAAATGTAATTTTTACATGTATACGCACATGTCTGTTCCTCWAACATGATGTACAATTTAGCGATCTGATATAAAATAACATTTCTTTTTACCTGTGATTGTGTGGCTAAAGGCCCATGACAATGAGAAGCAAAGGCCTGGGAAAAATGAGAGTGCACTATTTTCAAGACATCTGTTTTTCATAAATTCTACAGTAAAGAGTTTTTTGAATCACTTCAGAAATTTGTCTGATTTTAATGACTTTTGTGTTAGCAAGTTGTCTGATTTTTAATATAGAGGCTTTCAAAAAGCATGTCTTGGTACACTAGAATCAACTTCTAGTTTGAGTCTCAGCTTTCAATATGTTATCACTTGAAGGGTGACTCTATTTCATCTATATTCACTATATGCAATATATGCACTGTATTTCTCTTACAAAAATATAAGTAGGTTACCTTTTTCCTTCCTGTTTTTTTAATGTTTTTAAGAAGGTCTAATATGCATTGAGAATGAAAAGGGAAAAAAAAAAGAGGAGAAAAAGATGCTGTTTTTTTTTCTTTTTTAAACCAGTAAGCTAGAAGAGAAATCCTTGCAGAAGGTACAGCCTTCATCTTCTGAAAAYGCCTGCTCTTCATTTTTGCCCTTGTCGTACCAGAGAAAAGCTGGCATTATATGAATGTACTGTATTCATTGTAGAATATGATTTTTTGCATTATTAATGACAAAACAGTCTAAAATCCTTAGAGCAGTGCTTGTAAGAGAGATAAAAGCTACGGTAGTAATTGAGAATATTTTACTTACTGCAAACTGAAATAACTGAAAATCTCTTGGAAATGCCCATTTCGTAAGAAGATGCTTGCCTTAGGACAGTATTCTCATTTGAACTAAGGACACTGTCTAGTTAGCTGGTTGTATTCAGACTTTACATCTCTTTTGTTTTGGGKTTTTTTTCTCTAATTTAAACAGTTTTGTATGAAGCTTTTTATTTAATTTCACACTAGGAGTTGAGAGAATGGGTCATTTGTGTAGTACCATATGATCATTTAGATCTCTTTAGCACCAGCTCACTCCAACAGTTACCAAATCTAGCACCTACAGCTAAAATGGAATTTGGCCACTTATGTTATCAATCAGAACAGGTTCATTAATGGCATAAGTTCTGAACACTTGGTTGAGCTGTGTATAAGTAATGCTTGCCCTGGAAATGAATGCTRTTGAATGACTATGGGTATTTCTGCAAGTAACCACAAAAACAGTGTCTGACTAGAAATTGAACTTCTGCTAGATACAAAATGTTAAGCAATTTTTTTTAAAGATGGATTACAAATAGTCAGGGGGTACATTTTTGATCACATAGCTATCTTCTTGTCATACTTTCCACTCTTAACTATATTTTGCTGCTAATCTCTCAAGTCTTCCTCTTGAGAGAAAGAAGTAGATTCTGAACTGTTGCCATCTAGCTGGTCTTCTAAACTTGCAAATAATTRGATGAAATATCTAAAACCCAGGTCAGATAAACCTGAAAAGATTTAGTTGTCTAAATGAAATTTAAAAGGCATAGATTTTCAAGTGTTTACATAAATATCAGCTGGACAGGACAAGATCACAATTGTTCTGCTAAGTTCCAGACCTCTTGTGAGTTGAACTGTACTAAAACATTGCTTTAGTCCCACCTGAGTTTTTCAGCATTTTGGGTTGGTTTTTTTTTTGTTTTTTTTTTTTTAATATTCTCTGGCTAAGTGTATTGTTTTTTATCATAACTCAGGACTTTAATCCAACCATCAAAAGCCATTTACTATGGGAACTTAAAGTAACCTGGTCTTCTGAATGAAGGAAAAGTGGCTTGTCTGTTTACTTTGTTCTTGCTGTTTGTAAAACTACAAGGTTTGGTAGTTTTTAGAAAAAAAAATCAAGGTGTATAAATGTTTATCCAAAGGTAAATCTTAGAGCATTGCAATTTCCTTCTGGAACTTAGCTTGTAGTGTATACAACCTAGCATTATTAGATAGTCATGTACATAACATATACTATGATTCAGGTAAATGTTTCATATGAAAGAATGTATTTGTAAATTGTAACAATATTAATAGTTTCTTTATCTTTTTAAAGTTCTGAACAGAATAAAAATAATGTATTGTTAGACTTGACTGCTGTACTGCAAATTCTGTCTTAAAAGGCTACTTTTGTGTCTRGCAAAAGTTGTGCATTATGTGAAATATTAACAAAAATGTGTGCTCTTAAAATTGATCTTAAAAGGTAGGTAGGTTTTGCTATGATTTGCCAGAATTGTAATACTTGCTGATATCTATTGTAACCCATTCCTTGGAAGTTCTCAAAGATGTAGAAATTATTTTATGCCATTCTAGGGAGGAAAAAAAAGAAGTGGGATCTGCTCTCTTGACTCACTACTGGAAACCCTGATTTTTGTCATTAAATACTTCAACTGTGATGAAAAYTGTCTTTGGATTATTTGAGTTCTCTATTCAAAGTATCGATAATTTTTTAGTTAAATTTTTATATTTTAGTTTGGGAAAATTATATTGAATTCTAGCAAAACTGAGTAAAAATTACTTTCTGCTATAGTGTTAAAAATTTCCTCTAGAATACTGTAATTAAAAAAGAAGTAGTGGAAACTAGGTTAAAATATTTCCTGTCCAAGAAGATTCCAGACAATATTTGTAATAGGTTAAATTTAGCACCCTAACTTAAAGGCTGTATATAAAAAGAACTTGATAATTTACTTTTAATTAGCTATGGAATGCTTATTCTCAAATTGTTAATGTTTTCTTTTGGCTAYTGGTAATTTTTTATCAAAGCAGAGAAGCAATCCCTTAGATTCAAATGAGGTCTACCTGCACAAGAACCATATGCAATATGAACTGACTTTGCTGCCGTCTCTGTTTTCAGGCTTAAATGTGATCCCTAATATCATAATCTCAGAAATTTATTGTTGGCAAATACTGTCAGTTGTTGAGTTACTGAGGTTACTAGGTAAGTTTTGCTAGTATGTCATCTGTAGTTGTTGAATGCCATGCATCCCCAATGCCCAACCTGTAGGAACCTCTTAGTAAAGGAAATAGATCTCTGGTGTATCGGAAGCAAATTTGATCAGGACGACATTTTGCTGTAGATTGAACGTAACTATTGGTGAGTTCTTTTCTATTGTTAATGTACATTTGTCCTGTTAAGATAGAAAGACCAAATGTTTGGACATTTTTTTAGATCAATTTCACCGTGTCATTTTTTTCTTGTTGTTAAAATTTTCATAAATCATCAGCCTAATTTCTTGCTGTGTATAAGGAAAAGATAATAGGCTTTTGTTTGTCATCTCTGAGTCATGGAAGAAGCTTAAGCATGAATGTGTGTGCTGATTGATAGTTAGAATTTCTAAAATATATGCTAGTATGTTCCTAAAGGGGTGATATTTGACTGAGAAAACTTGAACTTCAGCTGCAAGTCACAATATCTGTGCAGATACCAATACACACTACTTCAGGTGGTGAGCTGGCCTGCTGTCCAGGATTCACARAGGACTGCAATGTCTCAGACTAAAAATGGCTTTCCCTTATTTCAAAATTAGTCCCTCATGGAAGTGGTCATCTACCGCTGAGGTAATTGCATGAACTTGCATAAGCAGTAACTTCCCTAATAATTCCAGTGTCCCAACTTCCACTTCATAGCACATCATTGCAGCCTGTTTTGTGCATCATCGGTAAGCACCGAATGGTTTTGGATGTCCATTTCATTTATACATTTTTTATTTGAGCTGTTACTGTCTTTTTGTCTGCTGTCAGTTTGTACAGTCGAAATTGTGGCAACATTTTTTAATCGATACTTAATGTGATGGTGATTGGCTTTGGCAGAGGTTGACAAGGGATTACAGTCCCAAAAAATAATTCAATAATTATTTTTACATGGAAAAAWAATAAACCAAGTGTAAAGATCTGTTACATGAAGGCATAGTCTTATGACAAATCTTCTGCCTAATATTCATGGTGTAAATATAAYCTTGTTAACTAGCCAAGTCAGGGGATTTTAGAAGCGTAGAGAATAGATATCTAACAAAATTCTAATTGRTATTTTAAACAGTTTTAGAGGTTTCTGGTAGCTGAAAAGGTGATAACTTATGGAGGTGAAATAAAGCCTGTATTGTGTTGAAATTCTGTTGTTGCTAAAGAGGGGAAAACAGTTTTCATCTGTGTTAAGTGTTCTTTTCTACACAGAACAGAAGGAAATTCAGGTAAAAATAAATGTGAAAATGTTGATAGTTTTTCATACTATATTGAAAAGGGGATCTTCAATATGTGCAACTAACAATAATAAGCATGCTGGTTTGCAGCCAGACCAGTTGGAGTTTTTTCCTATTTCAGAAAGAATGGATACAGGAAAGCTTTCTTTGGTTTGGCGTGTTCCTAGAACTAGGCGGAAGATGCCTGTAGACATTAGAAGTATTAAGATTTTAATGAGAATCCTTTCCAAAACTTCTACCAATGTTATGAAAAATAGCAYTTGGAAATATTTATTTGTTTCTGTGAGAAAACAGAATAAGAAAACATAAAAGAAGGCTGWGAGATCCTGGGGTAAGTTTGGTGCTTAGATAAAAAAAAGCTGTTAGAGTTAACTATAGATTGCTGCATTCATTTGAGGTTTGTGAGAGACTAGCTCAGTTGAAAGCATCCCAATATTACTTGTTTAAGAATAAGGAAGTGTAAGCACTGTTCATGCTGCCTAAATCAACAGTGCCTAAACCTGAGGAGAGGATGTGAAAGATGAGGAATGGATTGGAGGCTTGTGCATCACTAGGTAAGCAAATCAGAGGAGGTGATGAGGTAACTTCTGAGAGAGTCCCATGGAAGAGGGGACACATACCMATTGGGAAGATGCTGCCATTGCTCCCAGTGTGTGTCCTCCCTCRGTTCCTTTTCCCCCCAGCTTTATATTCTAAGCATGATGCTGTATGATATCAGATTATCCTTCTGGTCACCTGGGATCAGGTGTCCTACTTGTGTCCCCTCCAGTTCCTCAACCCCTTTGTGGGTGGTACAAGATGCAGAAAAGGCCTTGACACTGTGCAAGGCCTGCTCAGCAATAACTAAAGCATCCCTCAATTATCGACACTTTCGGCACAGAATCAAAACACAGCCCCTTTCTGGCTGCTATGAAGAAAGTTATCCCAGCCAAAACCAGATAATTCAGTGWTTTCTCACAAATGGATAGAGAACCACCTGCAACTTTAACAGCACGTTCTAGCAAAAATTCTTCAAGACAATTCTGAGGCCTTTATCTTACCTGGTGGCCTTTATCTTACCTGTTCTTTTCTGGTGCTTCCCTCTGTAGAGTTGTGCAGCATTTGAGACAAGCTGAAAACAGTTCTGTTAAAAGTCAGAGCACTGAAACTGTGGCAGGTATTATTCTTCACCGAGGCCATGAACAATTGCAAAGCTGCTGGTGTCTGACTGAAATAATAGCTGTATATATAGGGTCATTTGTAAGACAGATGGCTGAGAAAGGTACCATTTWTCTGCCAGGCAAGGTTTCATAACTATTGGCATCCATTCTTGTCAAAAGCATCATTAATGGTTAGCTGTTTGCTAATCATCTCAACTTAGAAGGTGTTAGATTAAAATACTTTTTTTTTTCTTTTTTAAGTCTATATGACAATCTCTACAAGRGCACTGAAAGAGGAGGAGAGAGGTTATGTGTTTATATTCATTGACTGGGTAAGCTTCATAGAATCTGTTCCTCTGTCTCTGGCATAGTACATATGCAAGGTTATTTGTGGCTTCCTTTAAAACCCCAACTGTCCTGCCTAGCTCCCACTTTCGTTTAGTCTTCAATATTCAGTGTCATGTTTTTGTCATATTGCTCACTTGGAAGTATTTCATCRTAAGGGGTGGCTCTGCTGCTGAACATCAGGGTTTAAGGCCAACATGAAGTACARTCTGTAGTCCTTGCTCCTTGGGGTTTGAATAGCTCCTCTTGCATTATTTATTAACTGCAGATTGTTGCTGTTTGTAGATGAAGACGTGGGAATGTACAGCACATAAAATGAGGATGCTTCACGTCACAAGGGCAAACTTGTAATGAAGGTGTTTCAGCATGTCTGAAAAGATTTAGGATAAGATTTTGCAGTCAGAAATTCAGAGCGCTGGATCACCAGCTGAGGTGCTTCTTCCTTACTCTTGCTGAAGGTTTTTGCTCCAAAGTCTCTGATGAAGCTGCAATAAATGATACGAGGCATTTATCTTGAATGTAGGGTGTTTGACATTTGTCTTTGAATTTTTGAAATTACTTTCATATAGATATAAAATAAGGCCTGGAGGTAAGTTATTTGCAGTAACTTAATTGACTAGAATAGAACTGAGATCTGAGATTATAAACCCCAGGTTCTTCATTCCTAATAGAAAATTTCAGGCTCATAATGGAAATACTTCTGGTTTCTTGACTTGTTAAAGGAATCAGATACAAAAGAACACCTCTCTGTTGGTTTAACTCCTCTTAGCAACAAAGCACTATGCAGCTGCTCAGTCCTCCTTCAGCAAGATTGGGAGAGAATCTGAAGAATAAAAGTTAGAAAACTGTGGGTTGAGATGGAGACAGTTTAATAGATGAAGTAAAAGCTATGTACACAGGCAAAGCAAGACAAGGATTTAATACACCATCACTCCGAATGCCCCTCCTCCTTCTTCCCCTGACTTTAAATGCTGAGTGTGACACCATGTGGTCTGGAATATCTGGTCAGTTGGGGTCCCCTGTCCCAGCTGCATCTCCCAACCTCCAATGCACCCCCAGCCCCTTCACCAGCCTGGCGCTAAGAACAGCAGAAAAGGCCTTGGCTCTGTGTAAACCCTGCTTAGAATTAAAACAAACAAAAAAAAAATCTCTATATTATCAACCCTATGTTCAGCACAAATCCAAAACACAGCCCTATACAAACCATTGTCAAGAAAAATCAGCTCTACCCCAGCCAAAGTCAGCACCGTCACAGACACTTACACTTTTTTCCCTTCCTGCTCTAGCAATATAATATCTTTCATGGCACATGGTATGTGCTGTCTGCAAAGATCAATCTGTTGTTGTAAAACGTATCTGGAAAAAGGCACCAAAAGAAAGCTGGGCAAAAGCAGCAATTAAATCTCATTGCTGCTCTGTTTGGATTTTGCACTGCAAGAAGCTGTCAGCTTTCTGGCTGAATGCCTTTGTATCAATGAAAGAATCCAGTTTAAGTTATTTGGGGGAGTGCTGTGCATGTATGTCTTTTGTCACTGGCTTCAGCAACTGTGAGGAAAAAAATGTCTCTTGCCTTGTGCTCAAACAGTTCTCTGGCATTCTCTGATTTAGTGTAAGGACAAAAGGATCTCTGTGTCAAGAGACACACAGTGCTTAGTCACTGTCAGMTGCCATTAAACTGCCCTTTTGGAACACACAAAACCTCCCTTCCAAAAGCATGGAAAA